TGAGTTTTGGCAATTGTGTGGTCGATGTCCGGCGTATGGCTCGGGTCCGCAGTTTCATACACAGCCGCGTATACACTATACTGACGATCAGTATCGGCACAAAGTATTGAAACACCATTGAGAAGACCGAGTAATAGCCCCTCCCGTGCGCTATTGGCCACCGCTCCACACAAAAGTTGATCGATTTAAGCCATGGCATATCTGCACCAGGGTCAAATTGAAATTACTTACAATTATTAAAAATATTTTAGCTAGTTGAAATTATCTTTTTTGTTTTAATTTATTGCAAAATGTTATTTAAATATAATTTTATATCGTGCTGGTAAATATTTCACATGTCAGTATTAAATGATGGGTCTTCAAATTGTTTTAAATATTATTTTAAAATTTTCATAATAATTTTAAAACTATTAAATTTAATATTAAAATGGATCATAGGTATTTTATTTTTGTTAATATTTCTTTAGAAAATATTAACAAAAATAATATTTTGGTTTTGTTATAATTAAAATTTTCCATTTATTTTAAATAAAACTAAAATAATGATAATATTTTGCATATTTTCAATGAAAGATCTTTATATAAAAAATTTAAATAACCAAAATTTTCATTAACTTAGCAATAATATTATGTTATATTATAGCTGGCGGATGTTGCAATAGTTTAGGATATTGATTATTATTGTACCAAGTTCCTATTAATAATAGTGAGTTTGATCACCATGTACAGTGTTTGTTAAGCTGTATAGTATAATCTAATTTAGCTACAATATAATTGTTACGTAAGATTTTAATTAATATAATATTTAATTTCAAGATTCATAACGTGATTCATTTCAAAATAATTATTTCTATTATTATCACAAACTCATCCATAAATCTAACAGAAAGTTACGAAACAAATATATAGTAATTTCTAACGATTCGTAAGTATTTATTTAATTACTAGTATTAAGATATGAGATATAAGAGACGAGATATTTTTCAAAATAAACTTCTGGTTAATTGGATATAAAAATAAAAATGCATTACCTAATAGCTATATATTAGCTAAATTATGAAATTTACTGTAATCTAATTCATATAATAATGATGTAAAAATTATATGTAATATTAATTGTATTATTGTTTTTTAAAATTGTATTTTAAAGACGTCGCGCACTCAACACAGGTTGATATTCTGTGCGAACACATGTTAAACACAATGATTGCAACTATTGTTATATTTAAATAATATGAGATATACTGCATAATTATCTGTATTCTTATACATGTAATGTATGTGTAAATGAATGAAATGATTGATTGAATACCCAATTGATGTGTTTCAACGGTGCGGAAGAGGAAGAGTGGGAGAGCCAAGAGGATAGCGGCCAACCATATGAACGAGAGTTTGAATATATTGCCGAGCATTCGGTTTTCGCTCCCGGAATGCAAAATCACTTGATATCTATCTAAAGCGATGGCTGTTATGCTAATCGTCGACACGAATATCGACGTGGCCTCTAGTGCCACCACCAGTTTGCACATGGTCACTCCTAGTCATTATAGAATTAATTAATATATTGTCATTTAGCATAATAAATTAACATTTGGGATAATAAACACTTGTGTTCGATTCAATTAAAAATATTCCTATGCTTGCGTTAATTGTTAATTCAAAATCTAATGCTAATGAATAAAAATGCATTCGAGTTTATATAAATCACTTGATAATAATTATGCTTGTTGATTTAAAAATTTATTATACGAAATAAACGAATGAAATAAACAATTTATTATTCTTCTATAGACAAATAGGAATACTAATACATTGTGGTACTTGAACAATAACATTTGCTTAATTTATTGTTTACCAACTATTCATAGCATAAATGTTTGATTAGTTTATTAGGCATTTTAATTAAATTTGAGAGTAGAGAGAGAGAGAGAGAGTTCAATACAATTTATATACAAGTAATACAAGTAAATAAATATCATAACAAGTAAAGCATTTTCGAAATTTCGAAAATAACTAATAATAAATTGAATGACTAAACTTCAAAATTATTTCCTAATATCGATTGTACAGTATCTTAGAATAAAGCAATTGTAAAAATAAAACAATAATTACTACATATAAGTTATATAAGACTAATCTCGTGAAAATCTCAACGATCCATCAAATGTGCATCAAATAGAGACTTAAAATATTAATATTTTTTTTTGTATTTTATAGTTAGATATTTATCATATCATATGTTCGGCAAAGGTTTTATTGGGATTTATTTTAATCTCGTGGAAAGTATCGACAAGTTTTTAATTAAATTTGAGAGAGAGAGAGAGAGAGAGAGTTCAATACAATTTATATAACTTAATACAAGTAAATAAATATCATAACGAGTAAAGTATTTTCGAAATTTCAAAAATAACTAATAATAAATTGAGTGAATAGACTTCAAAATTATTTCCTAATATCGATTGTACAGTATCTTATAATATAAGAAATTGTAAAAATAAAACAATAATTATTACATATAAGTTATATAAGACTAATCTCGTGAAAATCTGAACGATTCATCAAATGTGCATCAAATAAAGACTTAAAATATTATAATTTTTTTATATTTTAACGTTAGATATTTATCATATCATATGTTCGGCAAAGGTTTTATTGGGATTTATTTTAATCTCGTGGAAAGTATCGACAAGTGTTGGCAAATATAATAAAAATAGACCGACTTTTATATTAATAACAATCTCTTGAGGCATAAATCCTTTTGAAAAATAAGCAACAAAAAAACCTTCCCGTGCTTTTTATAACGCTTACTATAAGTTTCCGGTAATTTATAAATACGGTTAACAACACACCCACTCATTGACTGCATTTAAGTAGTAATTAGTGTTAGAGATAACTAAACCATGTATTAATTATCGCATATTTATTGGATTGACAATTTCGCAATGCCATTGAAATAACATGAATACCCTATTAATTGTCTGTACATTATATGGTGAGTGCGTTATCGCAGTCGACATACAAATTTCACATCAAATTATAAGACCGATAATAAATATATTACATTTATTGATTAACTCAACATATAGTGTAATTCCTTTATATTTAGTGTTGTGCAATAATTGTGTAGTGGACTTGCACTAATTAATAGTATTTTCATTATAATAATGTAAGAATTCCTGTTTTATAATCTAGTGAATTATAAATTATAAAACTATTTAATAATTCAGTTATAAGTGTTGTTTAATTTATAAGTGTTGTTTAATTTGAGTTATTTCACATAAAGTTTACTATTAATTATTTAGGGTAAAAATAATTTATAAATAGTCACTTGTTGCACATATATTAAAAACCTACATTATTTTATTATATTCAACTACAATAGGATATACTAATTAATCTCATCAATTACGGTAAATCGAAATGTTAAGCAATATATAAATCGAGTAGTAATTAAGGCTAAAAATAGCTATTATTTATAATAATGGTATAGTAATTGAAAATGTATTTGACATAAAACAGAATGATAATAATAACGAGAGAGAG